TACCTTCTCCTGGTACTGGCGCCGCGAGGAGTCGAGCGACTGGATGAGCGCGGTGGCGTGGCCGATGAACATGGCGTAGCAGGTGGCGCCCACGATCATGCTCAGCATGGTGAGCCAGATATCCGACATGCTCTCTGGGGCCTGGCGCCCATATCCAATACACAGCATGTGACTCATGGCCTTGAAGAGGGCGAAGGAGTACAGCTCACTCCACGTGTTGTTCTGGGGAGAGAGGACAGGGAACAGGGCGCCTTAAACCACGCAGACCCAGACTCTTCCTCCATTAGCCTTGAGGAGAGACATGATTCACAGAGGCTTGGTAATGGCTAATGGCCGCCACAGGAACACCCCCTGAATGTGGCTGACTCTTCCTCAGAGTTCTGATCACGGTCTGGTAACTAACGATCTCTGACCCTAAAATTCTCACCAATACTATTTGAGGCTTTTTTGTGCTCACCTTGAAAAAACAAAATATAAGATCAAACTGATCTGGCAAATGAACTGGCTGGTCGGGTTGTGGTGGGGTGGGGTGGTGAGGTCGTTATTTGGGTGAGTTGGGTTGGCTGGTTGGTGGGGTGGTCGGGTGTTTAGTTGGATAGTGAGGCGATTGCTTGGGTGTTGGGATGGTTAGTTGGGTTGGTTGGTTGGGTGGAGGGCTGGTGGGGTGGTTGCGTGGTTGTTTGGGTGGTGGGGTGGTTGGTAGGATTGTGGGGTGGTAGGGTGGTTGGTTGGTTGATGGGGTGACTGGTTGGTCGGGTGGTGAGTTGGGTTGGTTGGTTGCGTGAAGCAGTGGTTGGGTGGGTGGGTGGTTAGTTCGGTTGGTTGGTTTGGTGGTGGGGTGGTTAGTTGGGTGGTGGGATGGTTAGTTGGCTTGGTTGGTTGGTGGGGTGACTGGTTGGTCGGGTGGTGAGTTGGGTTGGTTGGTTGGTTGCGTGGAGCAGTGGTTGGGAGGCTGGATGGTTGGTTGGGTGGGTGATGGGGTGGTCAGTTTGGTTGGTTGATTGGTTGGGTGGTGGGGTGGTTAGTTGCGTTGGGTGGGTGGTGGAATATCCTGGTTAGTTGTGTTGGTTGGTTGGGTGGGTGGTGGGGTGGTTAGTTGGGTGGGTTGGTTGGGTGGGTGGTGGGGTGGTTAGTTGCATTGGTTGGGTGGGTGATACAGTTTTTTGCCTGCTGATATGCAAATGCTAAAAAGCTATGACAGCCCTCCCTGAAGGTGGAAGAGCAGTCAAGAGGGAAAGGCTTAAAAACAACTGCAAAACAAAAGTTTTGTGAGGAACAGACGAGCTGGGGAAGGATCTGCACAACAGCGGAGGTGTCAGCTCTGAGCCGAGCCAGCGTCCTGGCTTGGCCCTGCCAGTTTTGAGAAGCCGGTGCCTGAGGCATCTATTAGTGGAGATTCTCGACCTCCTGTCATCCCAAACAGAAGGCAGGGCTTCTGGGGAAAAGATGGGGGTGGGGGCTGGCAGTAGGCTCTTTCACTGCAATAAAAATTGGAAACAAACATAAAAACAGAGCTGCCCTTCTGCCTGTCAGTGTAGGAAACCAGGATCATGTCAGTCAAATCACACCACAAGAAACAACATACAAAAGTAAGGCGTTTTTTCTGCCTTTCCTTTCACCTCATCTCTGGAGCTTTTTGGGAAACAAAGGTTAGCCAGTACTGGAATATCCTGGTCATAATCTATTCTCTAATTTTGTCTAAAAAAAATCTGTCATTGATCACTGCAGAGCACGGCATTCAAAGTACAGGTGTACAAATAGATTGAACAAAACATGATAAGAATAAAACAAAACAAAACATGATAAGCTGCACAAATATTAGCGATTTAACTCGCCATAATAAAAGCAACAGGTGTTCCTGGCTCTGTAATACACAGTTGTCCCGGCTTATCAGAAATTACAATAGTCATCCAGGCTCTGCCCTGTTGTGCTGCTTGACTGTTTTGTGTGTGTAGCAGCAATGTACATCCTTAATCTCAAGGTAAAGACTCAAACATCCTATCTAGTCTGTTGGCATTGAACTCAGCAGGAACAATGCTGTATCTGTGCTGCGGCATTTTTCAGCAGCACCGGATCTGTCAAATCACACCTGGAGCTCGTTTATTTTAATGCACCTGGGAATAGGCAGGCTTTGACTTTGTCAACAGGTGTTGTAGAGTGATTTAAAAACCTGAAGAGGGGCTTTGATCACTGCAAAAATGATTATGAACCTTAGGTTCTGCAACAGAGGGAGCTCATGTTAAATTAGGGGATTTCATCTGCTGGAACACAATGGTGTTTTTGACCCATTTTGTTCTATTTGCAAAGGCTTAAAAAGGGAAGATATTCATCGATCTTAACAATAAGACAACTGCAACGCTTGGCCATCAAGGAGCCTGCAGAACTGGGGTACCATTATAACAGGTGTTCAATCAACCCATTTATCAGGCTTCACCACGGTGTCCTGCCCTACTGAGTCCGGGGCTCAGAGTGCCTTGTCCCATCATGGTTTTAACTATCCGTATTCTTAGTTCTCCGTGTTCGTCTTGGATGAATCACCCAGCACCTGGACCTTGGACTGCGCCCCAATTTCCCCTATTGGACTTCCTTTTGGACTCGTTCACCTGCGCTCCCCCCACGCACCAGATCACCCCACCACCCCCCACCGTGTTTCTACCCAACCTGATCCTGCTGCATCTTCCCCGATGTCCTACTCCAGTCCCTTCCGGATTAAACCGTCTCGCAGAGGGGCTTTAACTAAGCATTTCACGGGAGTCAGACCCAACGACCTTGACAATCCCAGGAACCACATTGTGCCCCAGACCCCCCGAACAGACCACAGGCACCCCAGGATCTGTGGCACCAAGCCCCCCGCATTTTCAAGGTCTCTCTGGAGCTGGCGCCTTAAAAGGAGCGTGCTCTTCAAGGTGTGCATGAGCTGCAGAACTGTCTCGGGCTGCAGAGGACATGTCCCATCCTTCCAGGTCAAAGCACGAAAGCAGGGTGGGCTCTCCAGAGACTGCAGTGGGCAGAATAAGGTAGAACTCTTGATAACAATTAAAACCCATCCTCTGGCTACTGACAACCCCCTGCTGGGCTGTTCCAGAAGCAGGAGCCCCAGCCTTTGAAATCCTGCAGAAGAGTATTAGCTCCGTCTTTCTCTCTGTTAAGGAAATAAAAACCTTAATGCCTTATTGTATATAATCCATTTACAGAGCGCTGACAGCAGCTCTCATCTAGACCTTGCATGATGTAGGACTGCACAAGCACTGGTAATTAAAGATTAACACTCATTTTTTCCAATTCCTAGCAGCAAGGGGGAGCAGGGAGGTGCCTATAGAGAATGGGGGGGAGGGGGGGCTGTATAATGCTACCATCTCAGAGAGCAGTGTTCTGTAACAGAGTCCTGCAGGACTGCATGATGCCACTGAAACGTAAAGGGGATCTGCGGTTTCTTAAACCTGTTATTAAATCTCGGTAGCAAAATAAGCAAAATAAATGAATTTAACAAATTTCGACTGAAGTGCTTTGTGAAAGTGCTAGGAGCTATCACAGGCAAGAGTGGGCGTTTGGGAGAATTGTGATGTGAAGCGGACCTTCCTGCTCGCTAGTCACTGTAGTGATTAAGGTACTGCGATGTACGAGTGTGATAAGTACAGGTTGTGCAGCAGACACTGCACCGCAGAAAGGTTTCAGCATGATCTGCATGCAGAGTTAACAAGCAGCATTCGTCAGCAAAACCGTTTCAAAGTCAAGAGCAATGTTTCTATTGGATTAAAAGAGACGGATGCACAAGCCTGCTTGTTTATAATGTAACAGAGCTGCTTCACCTCAGCTGAAGTCTTGTTCTGAATGCAGAATATAGCACTGCACATACATGGAAATTTCACCTATTTTGTGATGCATGGACGTTTTACACATTGCTGTGTACATTTTAGTTTCACCGTGGTTTGAAATGCACTCATCAATGCTGATTCTTCTGAACCCCGAAATATAAAAATAGTGCCGCAGTTCTTCTTTAACCCCCAGTATCGCCGATGGCTGAAAGAGCAGGCGCAAAGCAACAGCAGTCTAGACTGATGCCAGGGAGGCATGTGTCTTCAACACGTCTAGACTGGACTGGAGGTCACAGCAGGGAGTTGTGTGTGTGTGTTTGTGTGTGGGGGAGGTGCCCTGGTGCCCGTGGTCACTCCTGACTCAGCGAGGGCCAAGAGAACAGCTGGCACGCAATGCCCATCATCACCTGGAGGAAGAAGCAGCTGTCTGCGATTAGGAGGAGATTATCACACTTAAAAAGTGTCCTGCAATTGTGAACAGCTTCTGTGGTGCTCCATCCCCATTCTGGCTTATCTCAGCAGGGCGCCCAGAGTTCAGGCTTTTGTTTTTCTCCTTGGACTAAGTTTTCATGGAAAACCGTAGTCCCAGATTCTCAGACTGGTTATTAAACCTCGGCGACAAAATAATGTAAGTGACAGTATCGCAAAATTTGACAAATTCCAAATTATGCACAAAATCAGGAACTTCGTGCGAGTGCTATGCCAAACCCTTGGTCTCACCACGGGCAAGAGCGAGAGTTCCCACAAATTGTATCATGAAGTGGCCCTTCCTGCTCGCTAGTCCCTGTAACGACTAATGTGATGTACAAGCAAATAAGTACAGGCTGAGTAGCAGATATATTCACCGCAGAAGTGTTCCAATGTGGTCTGCATGCAGAGTAAACAAATAAGTTGTATTTGTCGGCAAAGCCGTCTCAATGTCGAGAGCAATATGTCTATTGGATTAAAAGAGATGCATTCACAAGCCTGCTGGTTTACAATATAATAATTCATGTCATGCTTTGTTGCCTCATTCTGATTCACAGACAATAATGGCATCATGGCGCTGCGCACACCTGGAAATTTAGTCTATTTTGTGATGTAAATTGGAGGTTTTACAAGTGACTGTGTACATGTTACTTTCACCGTGGTTGGAAATGCAATCATCGATGCCAGTTCTTTCTAACCCCGAAATATAAAAAAAATTGTGATACAGTTCCCCTTTAAACAGTAATTGTGAGCACAAGAGCAAGACCAAAGCACAGCCAGGACACAGGCAGCAGGAGGAGAGACAGCAGTGTGATCTTCGAGACTGACACACAGCAGTCTCTCCTGGTCCAGGAGGGGGCTCAACATCAGGGCTTCTCACTGTGGTGGATGGAGGGATCTACACATGGCTAAACCAACCTCGCCTTTCTCCCAAAACATAAATCAACAACAGATGAGGAGATGGTGGCAGAATCTGATTAAAGTAGCCCAAGAGCTATAAAGAGCTAACAGGCCATTCACCTTCTAGATCTCATAACATGTCCTTGAGAAACCTTTTCATCAACACCTACTAGATGCCATTAGAGACACCCCCCTCTCTGATGTCTAAGCTCCAGATCTATCTGCTTTATACTATTCATTGCTTTTTCTCTTCTTGACCTTTAAGTGTTCTTATTGCAAGTGCTGAAGAGTGCGTTTTAATTAAACGCACAGATGCCTGACGATGACACAAGGACCTCAAGCTGTCCCTTTGTAAAGACTACCCAGGTACCAAAGCATGCAGTGCAGAGCAGCACAGTGGAATGATGATGAAGCACAGGTGAGACATACAGTATATAGGAACCTGAGTGACACAAGAGAAACCTGTGCAGAGGGCCTCTTCCAGACGTGTCTTGAAAGAAGCCAGAGAATCGGCTTCTACAAAATAACTGGGCTAGTGTGATCCAGACTCACACAACCCTTTTTGCGAAGAAGTGTTTCTGTTATAGTAATAGCAGTAGCAGCATTAGTAATAGCAGTGGTAGTAGTAGCAACAGCAGTGGTAGTAGCAACAGTAATGGTAGCAACACATAGTAGCAGATCATAAAGTCTGTAGCTGGGGTGTGTGGGGTCTTTGATGATGCTTAGAGCTTTCCCCAAGCACCGTCTGTCATAAATGTCCTGGATAAATGGGAGGGTAACCCCAGTGACGGACTGGGCAGTTTTCAAGAGATCGCAAAGTTCTCGTGGCACTTTGCTGGCATTAATGCATGATAGATGGGTTGATCCTCGTGTTGGAGGTGTGTTGTGGGGTGTGATTCTTTGCTTTGGGCTCTCTGCCTTTGCACGTGCGCTTAAATTGTGAGTTTGTGCACGCATCGAGCGATACAGAGGATCACAGGTGCACAGCCTCCTGAAGTCACTGGGCTGACTTGACAGCTGGCCGACAAAGACATCCATCTAGAGCAGACGTGAATGCATAATCGTGACGAAACTAAAAATAATGTACTTACCACCATCTTATTTAAAGACACCCAGCAATCGCTAGGGAAATCTTGCAGCATGGGCACCAGGAACTGTAGGCAACCATCCCAGTGGCACAGGAGAAGCATCATCCCAATTAGATTGAAAATCCGCATCACTGCACTGGCGAGGTCATAGGTCATGTGGAAGATCTGTCGAGGAATGGAAAGAGTGCTATTAGACCTTAAAGTGCACAAGTGATTGTGCCTTCACTGCCAATGAGCTATCAAGCTAAAGGAGCAATTCAAGATCCAGATGAATTGGTGTGTGCCTCTTCAACAAGTGGAAGGCTGGTTTGTTTTTTTTAAAGTAACTTCTCATTATAGCTCAAGTGCAGGAGGCAGCATGAGGTATGAGGCAGTCTGAAATAAATGAGCAGGAGTTTATGAGCCAGGAAGCAGCCAGGCAAACAGCAAAAGAGCAGAGCATGTTTATGACAGTAACCTTTAACAAGCACTCTGCTGTCAGTGGGCTAAGACACTTCAGCAGAAAAACAATATCTACATCATTATCAATCACTGCTGTGTGAGCTGTACTGGGTCCAGAGGAGAAGCACTTGTATTGCCACAGAGAGCTGCTCTTGCAGTCTGACGATTCTCCTCTCCTGCCTCTGCAGAAGAGACTAGACTCCTAGACCCTAGGCTTCTTCAGAGAGTCTCAGAGCTTCTTACTGCTGTCCCTCCAGGGGAAAAGTCTACAACGCACTTAAATCCTAATCTTTTAAAACTTTGGAATTCTTCTGCACAAAAGATTCTCCTGCACAAAAGAAAAGCTCAGCCGTCGGAGGCAGCCTGGATATTTCACATCAGACGGAGTCAGACAGAGGTTTATGACTCTGCCTGAGTGCTTGTGTGCGAAGGCCACAGTGAGGAGATGAGATACTTGAATCAACCGGGCTCCCAACATCCTAACTGGCCAGCCAGACTGACTGGCCTCCTCACTTTTGTAATCGCCCAGGTGACCTCAACTCCCTCTCCGGACCACACGATCCCAGACAGTTCAGGCCCCAGCCTTTTTTTTGTTGCTGAAACCAGTTTGCACGTGGTTTCAGGAAAGATAGGATTGCAGACAGGATCACTTAAGACATCAGGGCAACTTGGAACAATACGGCAACCTGTATACGGCAAATGTCATCTCTGAATTATGAGGATCAAAGCATGGGACTCTTGGAAAATGCACTCATATACTGTATTCTCTGCTTTAGTTTGGTTTTAGTGTGGGACCGCTTCGGCTCCTCTGGGAAAGGAGTACAAGGGAGATCAGTAAGCTCTTTATGCACTGTCGCTTCTCTGCAGTCATCTGTCCACCAGGTGTTTTACTAGGATGTACAATTTGGCAAGGGTCGCCAAGCAAAGGGTCAGAGGAGAAAGAGGGAGAGGACAGAGGAAGCTCTTGTCAGATCGCACAAGCCGGCCGGGACTAATGGGCCTCAACATGATGGAATCAATCCATCAGTCCTGAGCCCAGCTCTCGAGAGGGGCTCGCTCATGTCAAAAACCTGAGCAGGGATCAATCATGGCGAGCACAGACATGGAAAAACAGATCGGGGGGGGGGGGGGGAGGTTAGGAAGGGGAACAGTACAGGAGCTGATCTCTAACTCTGCTTTTCCAACCACAGCAAAATCACCAGGCCAGGCAAAGAGATGGTGACAGTATTCTCCATCAGCTTCATAATTCATTCAGATGATACTATTATCCAAGGATTGGTTTGGCTGGGGGGAACAAAAATGGAAGTGGACTTTGTGAATGGAAATCGCAAAAACGAAACAGGCGGCTGATCCCAACACTGAATAGTTAGAGAAGTTTCTCCCACTCCCAAAACAGAAGCCACAGATTGCCTGATACAGCGGCATGTCTGCTCTTTGTTCCCCTGAAAGCAGAGCAAAGCTGAGAGGGAGGATCAGGCTTGGGACAGAGACGACTCAGAGTTATATGAAAGTAGATTATTATGTTCTTATTATCATCATCATGCAATGAAAAAGTGTGCACAAATACAAAACTCATGCACACACATTTTCTGGGGACTCCCCATTCACACTTATTCTATTTTATTTACTCATCGCCTCCTGTACCAAAAATAAAACTCCACATCGGGAGAACTTTGACCACAAATGAACAGCGTTTAGATTAAAAAATGCATCGACCTGGTGGTGGCGTCTTTGCATTGTCTTTTTAAAAAAAATATTTTCTCAAACTTGGTCTCCACAGTGACAGAGAAGCATTCTATAGATGTAGATGTACATACAATTTAGATCTGGATAAAAATGCACACTCGCACGGGGTGGAGATGCTCTCACAGCCTGGAAGCTATGACTGGTGAACTGTGGCCAGCAGTACAGTGCATGTTTCTTTTTTTAGGACAGTGAGCGGCCAACTCCTCAATTGCAGAGTGTCGCATGGGTGCTGTGCTGGGCTCTGGGAGGTTGATTAAATAATTAGGGGTCATGTTCTGCGAAAGTAACTGCTCTGTAATCAAGAAAATAATAGCTCCTATTACCAGATAGCAGACTTTACACAATTGAGTCATCAAACCTTGGGTGCTGAAATTTTAATTTCTTGGCGACGACACAGACGCGCACTCTGGTTAATTGTTTCTCGCTGTTCGGGATTAAAATCTCTTTTCCACAGAACAGCCAACTTCTGAGTGTATCCTCAATTCCTGGGCTCCCGATCAATCCTACGTACCTCGTTTTCCCTCCAGAATGGCGCCTCTGACGTCCATTAGAAGCACCGAGTTTTAGAATAAATTAGTCTGGCTGAAGCAGACTACCGTTTAAAATGCAATCAGTTCACTTTTTTGTATCCTCCCACTCCTTCGCCATTCGCTCATCTACAAGTAAGTTTTCTTTGCGTTTACAAGTGGGCAGCACGGAAACAGAAACTGAGGCGCAGCAGGATAATCAGTTATTTGGGATTTTGCAACAGTGGATATGAAAAAAAAAACCTTGCCTGTAAAACATTTCAAACTTCAAACTTTCAAAGTCAGGATGGCAATTAACACTATTAAATTCCATTCCCAGTACTCGAGCATTAATGCCTGTGTAATTAGCAGAGAAATCCATTGTTCTTTAGTCTTAGGCAGTAATTAGTGCTAAAATATTTCCCTTCCGGAGCTCACATCACAGCCCTTCCCACTGTCTAAAAGTCCCCTCTGCCTCCATTTTATTCATGAGCTCTGGTGCGGATGCAGGCAGGAAAACTGATGGAAACAGAGAGTTAAACAGCTACCGGAAATTAAAAAAGGAGGAGCCCAGCTGTGCATTAGGTCAGCCACTGGAGCACAAGTCAGCAAAGAACAGGCAGCTTGGGGACAAGGGCCCAGCCAGGCACAGGAGTGGGCGATCGATGTCAACAGCCCCTCCTCACCCAGCGGATACGTGACTGACACCTGTCAGTAGACCCCCTGCTGCTCTGCATGCTTATTCAGAATAGCTGTGCAGGCTTGGCGAGAGTGAGTCAGGACAATATCCCAATATCCCAAGGTTTGGGGGGGGAGGCTGTCTCAGAACACCACCTCACATCAAATAAAACATCTCCCATCCCTGTCTGCTCCCAGGCGAAGACGAAAATGCCGTAGTATGTAAAGGAAGCATATTCTTCCTGGTTCACCTCCTTGGAGACATGACCTTCCCTCATTGGTGGGAGAAGTGGGATATCCATGGGAGGAGGCAGTCTATGACAGTATAAAAATGATCCCTCCTGAAACCTAACAGTGGAAAACTTACACTGGTCAAATTGGCCATGTCTGCTGACTCCTCAGCCACCCTGCTGCACTACTCCTGTGCAGCTTCCTCTATGTTCTGCTACCACTAAATAAAAACAATGACCGTTCTGTAAGTGTGGTACCCCTCCCTCCTGGTCACTCACAGCTCAATATCTAGCTAATTCTTAAGCGGCAGAGAGCAGCAGGTAAACATTTAGAAAGGAATTAGGTGAAGTTCCACACGTGACACAAAATGCATAAATTCACCGATCAATAAAAGCACCCAGCATGAAAAACAACAACCTCACACTTGTGCACAGGCTGTCCTTAACCCTGAAATGCACAGTGCAGAGCCTGACTTGAGGCTTTACCTTTCAAAATAACAAGAACAAAGCACGAACAGAAAGAGCAAGGCACTGAAGTTTAATCTGACAACACTGCCCGCAATCAATCTCTTGGCGCGGAATTGATCCAATGTTTTGGGACAGTACGATCAAATAACCCCTCACCACCCCCTCCCCCAGAAAGTTTAGCGCAGGTCAGTAGTGATGAGCTCAGCTCAAAGAGACAAAGAGGAGACTGGTTAGGTCCAGAGGGAGGTGACCTGTCACCTGTTGACAGACTGACCGCTGCTGAAACCAACATCTTTGTACAAGAGCAGAAGACAGAGTCCTAAAATTGCCCATATGCCTCACACCCAGCCTGGTTAATAACCCAGAAAGCAAACACAGTGGCCCCCGTTTTTAAAAGAGATTCTCTGCAGAAAAGTGTTGAAGACGTTACTGGGTCAGGAAGCCACTGGGAACAATCTGTTTATGGGGAGGAGTTAATGTTGAAGGCACAGGACTTGGATTTGGAGTGCAAGCAGTTATTGGAAAAGTTCAAAAGTCATTTAAATACCAACAATGAGGCACACCTGACATGACCCACTCATTTCAACAGTCATGCCAGTTAGATTGACCATCAACGTAAAAAAATGCATACTAAAAATCGCCCAAACTGAAAAAATAATCAAAATAATCCACAATAATCAAGAGAAGCTGTCACAATGCTGTCACAACAGCAACAGCTGGCCTGGGAAATACAGTCAAACTCTCTCAACATCTGGATGAGAAGACTGTAGAGCTCAAGACACTCTCCGGTGATAAAGCTTCTATATTTAGGATAACCTCAGGCTCATAACAGAAAAGACTGGTGGTTTATGTAATCCACAGGGATTTTCCCAGTGCTGATAAAATGCCCCAGTGGTGATTAATTCTGGAAGAGGTGGGAACAGAATAACCCATTCACCATAGATAAGGTGCTGCGAGACTTTTTTGGGAGAGTGAGAAGCTGTGGTTGAACAGCTCGCCTTAGCACCCTGCACGGGCTTAGTATTAAAAAATAAAATTTAAAAAAACCTGCCGGTCGATTCACACACACAGGACGTAACCGAGCTGGACTCACTGAGCCACTTCGCAGAGACATAGTGATCCCAGATCGCCCTGAAACAAGTCGGCCTGATTGCCTCACCAGCCGCCACTGTCAGAAAGGATGAGTGAGTCACACAGCAGCAGCACAATGAATTCATCCTAGAAGGAGGGATAATGTCTTGGCTGACGGCAAGGAGTTGGCACTAATTGATTGTAGGCAAACGGTTCATTAGTGAGGCTTACTCATGACCCCCCTGATATTGGAACGAGCCCTCGTTACAGTTTAATTGAGAAATTCTGCTCTTTCCTATACAAACCTTCTTGCCACGATAATTCAGACAGCTGTGAGGATGTCCAAGTCTTGAACTAGGCAATGGAGGCTGATGAAGTTTTTTGGATTCAAAAGGGAGTCGGAAAAAGTCTCGAAGGTTTTGGACATGCTGAGATCACAAGATAAGATCAGAGCACTTTATTGGCCATATACAATTTCTTGCATTAGGAATTTGTCATTTCAAACACCCCAGCGTGCTCTCCATGAGACACACAGACAGGGAGAGAAGCTGGGGGTCAGAGCGCAGGACCAGCCATTCATACAGCACCCTTGGAGCAGGTGGGGTGAAGGGCCTTGCTCAGGGGCCTGACAGAGCAGGATTCCTCCACCAGGCACGGGATTTGAACCGGCAACCTTCCAGTCACAGGCACAGATCCTGAGCCACAGAGCCACCTCTCCACCCACAGCTGAGCAACTCACTGTCACAATCTCCTGACGAAGACCTTGCACCGCCCCATTTCACACAGGCAAAGAAAACCAATGTTCTATTAACAAACCGCCAGGAGAGTTTAGAGCTCACCAGGAACAACAACAGCCAAGAATCCGATGCTTGGTGACGGTTCGGATTATTTGGTGGGACAGGTTTGTCCGAACCCGCATGGTAAATGGGCAGCCCCCTCTCTCCATTCAGAGAGGAGTGGCCCAGGGCAGCTGCAGGAGGGATCACTGAGACGAATGTGTTTGATATATATAGAGCTGATATCTGCGATGACGGTGATCAGCAACAGCGGTGTGACTTTTCATTGTTCTCCTGCCCCAACTTCCGTTAATAACTTCCATGAAGTGAGACAAAGCGACGCAGGTTAACGGAAGAAAGGAGCCTTTGATAACAAATTGCGAAATCATCCACTTGTTAATGCTGGGTAAAATCAGAGCCACTGCTTCTTCTAAACACTCTACCAACAAGAGCAATCAGTCCTAATACCCAGAGGGTCACAGTGTCATCTAGCTGTAGCTCCATTCAATCTCTCAACTGCTTCATTAGCCTAATCACTTAAATGGAATAATTATGCTACCGGGAGAAAACTGGACACTTTCTTCGGGGACCTACAAATGTTGTCAAAGGTACTGTGACAAAAGCGTCAATGACTTCTGAAAAAATGAAATGCCGAGAAAGATCGAGACCTTTAATCTGAGTTGAATGCATGTCTAATCCAACAACCACAGTGTCTGGACTTCGGAAGGAAAGTCAGAAACCCACACATCACTGCAGAACTGGTCTTTTCATGCCCTGGATCTGCAACAGTCCCAGGAAGAGTCAGCCATTTAAAAAAAACTCGTCCTTGTACCTCCAGGAACCTTATTTACTGTGTCTCTTGCAGTAAATGCCCAGCCATCTACATTGGAGACTCGGAGACCGCTTCGGAGAACACGTCAGGGCTGTGAAGATTAAAGATCTCTCCAAGCCCATTGTCTCTCATTTCACCTTTGATGGCCACGACCACTCTCATCTCTCCGTCTGTGTTCTCAAAGACGGTCTTCCGAACTCATACATCAGAAAGACTACAGAAACCAAACTTATCCTGCAGATAGGATCACACCTTCCCCCTTCTCTAAACGACAGATGACTTAATTCTAAAATGTTCTCCATTCATTGGAAGTGTCATTTCAAACCTCTCTACACCTATCCTGACTTCACACCTCCCGATTGGCCTCTCTTTCTGTCCCCTGCTCCCGCCTCTCGCTCCTCCTCTCTCCCAGCCTTTGGTCTCCCGCTACATTACCTTTGCCTACTGCCCTGTCTTTCTCACACCTGAGGAAGGCTCCACGGCCGAAACATTGTGTTTTCTTTCTTCTTTTTTTTCAGCATGGAATAAACCTCTTACTTGGACATTTAAAAAGCCGTCCAGCTCAGCCCTACCTACCTCCTCCCACTGGTGGATGTATCTGATGAGCCTGGACAGCCGCAGGAGGCGGAGCAGGCTGAGGATCTTGGTGAAGCGCACGATCCGCAGGGCGCGGGCTGTCTTGTACACCTCGGAGTCGATGCCCTTCTCCACGATCAGGAAGATATAATCCACGGGGATGGAGGAGACGAAGTCCACCACGAACCACGTCTTCAGGTACTTCTTCTTGATCTTCTTGGGGTCCAGGATGATCTCCGTGTTGTCCTCGATGACGATGCCCGTGCGGAAGTTCAGCACCAGGTCCATGAGGAAGAAGGTGTCGGAGACCACGTTGAAGATAATCCAGGGGGCGGTGGTCTCGTCTTTGAAGAAGGTGATCCCCACGGGGATGATGATCAGGTTACCCACCATGAACAACAGCATTGTGAAATCCCAGTAGAACCTGCAATGGAAGAGAGGGTGAGAGGAAGACAGACCCAGTAGGAAACGGCTAAGCACACAGCCTCATTTCTGGGAGCTACAGTGAAAGATCTGTTTCTACTATGTCTCCGCTGTCTGTTAATAATAATAATAATAATAATTCCTCACACTTCCACAGCGCTTTTCTGGACACTCCACTGTGAGCGCTGTACAGGTAATGGGGATCCCCTCCACACCCACCAGTGTGCAGCCCCACCTGGATGACGTTAAGGCAATTTAAGGGCTGCTTTCAGTGGCCGGCACATTCAAATAAATGAGATTTTAACGATTTGCACAAATAAGGTCAAAACTAACGGGGCCCACCAACTGCCATTATTTTCAGGGCTTTTAATGATTGTATTGAATCGCATTGGAAGTTAAATTGTGCAATTAACAGCCCAGCTGAGATTAAATTCTGCGCTGTGTACAAGAGTCAACCATAGACCATCTTATCCCACCTGTGTGAGCCTATGAAGAGCTACCAGGATCATTCTAGGCCACCTAGAGCACATCTTTTGGACAGCTTTAGGACAACACATTCAAGGAGCCAAACAGTAAACAGGAAATTCCCAACATGCCAATGTCATTGGAAAGAACAAGCCCAGCACATGAATCTAGGTGTCTTTTAAGTTATTTTATCAACCATTACTCTTCTGTTCCATCATTTGTATTTATTTACTGTCGGCATAATTAATATTGTTTTGACTGTTTGGATTCTAGAGGTAGAATCTGCAAAAAAGGAAGAGGTATATTTGATGTCAAATTTACAAAGGAATCACAAGAGGTCAGGTCCCTTTTAAACACGTAGGAATAAGAACATAGGCGGTGCTGCAGATGCGAAGACTTCTTCAGGTGTGTTACGTTACACTAGTGCGTCTTTAATAGTTTAATGCATGGCACCTCTAGACAGTCTTATAATAAAAGCAGGGGACACATCAGGAATGATGTTGGAGCGCGTGGCGGACACAGTGCGGGTGCACGAGGTAACAGGGCTGTGCGGGGTGCCCGGGCACGCGCTGCCATTTCAATGGCATCACGTACAACTGCAGGAGTCGGTCTGCTCGGGCTGGACCCTGCACTGACCGCGAGGGGCAAAGCGAACTGTGTGACAGATAAGATCTTAGACAACAGTTAAAACTGCTCCGGTGGTGAATCCTACAGAACAGAACTCCGGGGCGCGGTGACGATCGCCCGATCATTCCCTGAGGGCTGTCTTTGCGGCATTCTGATTCTGAGATAAATGACGGGCATTTAAAGGAGATAACAAACCGATGCACCTGGGTAGGTAAACTCGGCGTTTACAAAATGCATCCTCTGCCGCCTGCTAAGCCGCAGACTGCGACTCTTTCAAACCCCGAAGAGGAGACCCTGACGATGCCCTTGATTCGCACACACGCACGGACGGGGGGGGGGCGAGGGGTGTGGCCCTCTGTAACCAGGGTTTCAGGCGCGTCCCAGCCGCCCGCAAGGTCACGGCAAGGACAGGCCCCGAGAACGGAATATGAAACCGGAGCCGCCGAGCGAATTGATTCTCAAGCCGTGCGCGGCTGGAGCCTTCTTAAGGAAAAAAGGGAGAAGCGAGAGAAACTCCACGACAGCAAGAGCAGAGATTAATTTCTGCCCTGCGGCCGCCGCTCACCCAGGCATAGCATAAGAAGACAAATGAAGGGTGACGCTTTTGAGATCGCAATAGGCCAGGGAAACTCGGACAAGACACCGAATTACACAGTGGGGCTCTGCGACAGACCCGGGAGAGACTGGAGATGGCTGGATCTTCTTCCAGTTATTAAACTGCTGGAGAGTATCTGATAACGCACGAGACGGTGCGTCAGCGCAGGAAGGTGATTTATGGATCAAGTCACATTTCCGCGCTGTCGAGGACCACGTTTCGTGCTCGACTCGCGCACACAGAAAGGCGTCTCGAGCTGTGCGCTGCTGAGTCATGTAGCTCTCAGTGATGCACTTTCAGACGCAACTGTGGTGTCAAGGAGAGAAAGTCGATTTTCCAGCTCGCAGCGTGTATGAGCTAATTGTCACTGGTGGTGGGTTTTTTTTCTTCTTCCTTGCTGTACAGCACATGCGACCTTACTTGAGTCTGTGAGCTTGCAGTCATCTAAGAGTTGTCTTAGAGTCGATAAAATAAAGAAAAATGGAAAAATGACAAAGTAAAAGCATTAAGTCATATATTATATTTGAACTAGAATGCCCATCTACAAATAATAAACGGAGCGTGACCTTTTAATTTTATACCAACTGCAATCCCAAAAGTTCTTAGTTCAGCCCATTGAAAACACGAGAGGGAACCACGAGGGCGAAGTCGGCGTTTTTTTCCTTCTCTGCAGATCCCCGCGCGTACCGAGGAAACGGGATAGGGCTTCATTGATCGACCAGTGTTTCCTCAGCGCACGGGCTGGTGATCGGGGAACGCTAACAGGGGATCTGCCTAAACAGCGTCCTTGATGGACACCTAGTCCCTCCACCTCCTCGCCCATGTGCGCGCTCCCCGCCTCGCTGTTGGGGGAAGCCCAGCTCGGGCAGATTTACAGGGCTTTCTCTCAATGATGGCCTGGAGGGTAGGGTGTCGTTAGAGAACGAAACGGGTGTTGCGAATCTGTCACAGAGCCGGTGATCCTTTTTCCTCTTCTATATTGGTATTTAACCCCCAATTAAATACCAATCACTCTCGGAGAATGAACCAGAGACCCCGCTCTTGCGCCTGAAACTCCCATGCTCTGTCAGAAGCTATACCCCCAACGCGCTAAAACCACTCCCCCACACAAGAGCGCGTCCTGAACGCTGTGCGACGCACCCAGTGGGTGAATTCTACACCTGTTACAGCAAAACCAGTTTGGAACAGTGCACTAGCGGAGTTACACGCTGAAAACACGCAACGCATTGATTCTGATCTCCGCAGGCAGGGAAACGCGCTTCCGATAGTCCTTTGCCGTATGTTGGAGAGCTGCACGTCCACGACCGCCTGTCTCTCAGCAGAAGGGGGACAGACGGTCGAGATACGCGTTTGTTTTACCGCGTAGTCAAGCGCTTAAATCCAGCCGCATAGGGACACCGTTTTATTGTTGTTGTTGTTGTTGTTGTTGTTGTTGTTGTTGTTTGTTTGTTGTTTGAATTTCTTTCTCTACCGGCACTGCTTGGCCAGGCTGTATTCTTATCGCGTTCCGCATCCAAACAATCCTGGCTCAAATTCGAAACTATTGATGAATCGCAGTCTTTTTTTTTTCCTTCTTCCCCTCCGCCTTTCGCAGGTTTGTAAAGAGTAGAAGACAGTGTGTGTGCTACCCCCTCCCCCCATAAAGCAGGCGAAGCCCCTGTGGGATTTGCGGCGGGGCAGGAACTGTCCTTGGTGCTGAAATCTAAACGCCAGCATGACAAAGTATCGCCAAACGGAGTGTCAATTGCAAGTGGACCTCAACACGGGGGCGTCTTTCAAAACCCCAGAGCAATCTCAGGCGTGATGACAAACAAGCTCGGCCCATTTATACACCTGGATAAAAAGAAGGGATACGGAGAATGGTTAGGGCTCTAGACTCATAACTGGACTGTATAGCCAGCAGCGAAACCCCCATGCAGCTCACCACTGGAGCCCAGCAGGTGTGAGCCTGGCCAATACCTGGAGGGGAGACTCCTGGGAAAACTGAGGCTGCGGCTGGAAGAGGTGTTAGCGAGACCAGTAGGGGGCGCTCACCCTGCAGTCTGTGTGGGTCCTAATGCTCCAGTATAGTGAGATCCTGACTCTCTGTGGTCATTAAAAATCCCAGGGTGTTTCTCAA